AAAGGCGCTGGGCAGACAGCGAGGCACACTCTTTTAAGTATAGGGAGAGAAGAAAGTTTAACAGGGAAAAACCCCACAAGGGCTAATAATAAAAGAGTACAGCTTTGAACGTGGAGACTGAGGGCAGGAAAGATCCGTTCTGTGGATCAAAACAGGCACGTGCTCCTCTCACACAATAGATCCGGGAAAACAGCCATCTCAAGATGCACCCGAAGAGCGACAGTGAGCAACAACCATCACTAGTAGTTAATGGTACGAAGCGCTCAGGCTGTGGCAGGTTCACACGTGTGTTCCTGCAGTGAAACGATTGCTCTGTGAACAGCATTTATATTCTGATTTTCATTTTCCTTTGCTCGTGGCCAGTAACAACACAGGAACCCGGGGGTGTGAGGCCTCAAGGCAAATGGTTAGAGCACCTTTACACGGCAGCAAAACGGAGGACCCTAAGTTTGAAATCCCCTGGTGTTTCTTTAAGTTGTGCAGCCCCAAAATACAACCCTGCAAAGCTACAAAGGCATAAAATTAGTTCAAACTGCTGGTGTTCAGCTAATAGACAATTTGGCTTAGCCATGCTTACTAGGAACATAAATCTGTGAGAGACAGTCAAAGACAACAACTCATTTAAACCAAACTAATGTTAAATTAAATATTAATGATATCAATGCTAAATTAAGCATTGGGCTGCTTGGTTTTAAAGAGAATAAGTTTTGAAGAATGTGTCAGCTTCCTTTGGATTTGCTTTTTAAGCATAAAGCCCCACAAGCACCAGTCGAGGTCTCAGCACCTCTGCTCCAGAAGGGGAGAAAACAGTAAGTTCTTTTCTGCACTGTTTTACATATAATAATGCCACAAAGGAAAGGATGAATTCCCAAAGCGTGGATCTTTCTTGTACTGCACGTTAAGAGGAAACTGTCAGTGTAAAACAGCAGTGATGTACTGCACAGGATTACTCTGATAAGGTTAGTCTCTGGAGCGAGGAGCACACACAGCCCATAAGAAGAGCTGTGGCCAAGCTGGGTGAAGTCTACTTCATTTCAGTGATGCCTTCGAGAAAATTGGCAAGAATAGAAGCCTGGTCTTTCCTATCAACCTTCAACAAGGGGAAAGGGGTGGAAAAGCCAAGACCGGTCACAATGAGAGAAGCAGAAAGGTTTATGAGGATGAGGAGGACTAAACCACCCGAGTTAGTTGAGAGTTTCTCCCTCAACTTGTTAACCTGGCCCAAGTGAAGGACCAGCTGGAGAACGCACCTTCCTCAAACAAACCTGTGCTTCCATTTATGCTGCGTATTCCTTAAAATCACCTCTCTGAGATACAAATAGGATAGTTAAACCTGAGCACAGACTTTCCCAGTCAGCAATCAGAGCTACAAAGCAAACACACACCAGTTTTGAGTTAGCTGGTGGCCACCACTGAAAATCTGCACCTAATTGCTGCTAATTCACAGAGGAAAAGCATTTCTTTTAATAGTAATACCCAAGGTCTGTTACTACTCCGAAGAGCAATCCTGCCTCCCAAATCCCTGTCTCAGAGCTCAAGACTGTGGCATCAGTTGTTACTATATTGTCCTGACACAAACCCTGTAATGGTAGAAGATGTAAGTTACCTGGCACGTCACTGCAGCTCTGTGAGGACCAGTCGGATGTCAGCAAAGTGCTCTCTGCTGTACCTGTATGAGTTAGAGATGCCCAACCATTTATAAAGAGAAAGTAGCACCTAAATGTGTACAGAGTAATTACTGATACAAAGCTATGATTAGTTATCCAGGTTAGGTACTCTACATGCTTCAGCACTGGAAACACAGGAGAGCAAAATGAACCCCAGCATTTCACACACTGAGATGCTTTGCAGGTTACTGAAATAGTGTGGTGATTTGCAAAGTGATTCTTCCAGTGAATGCCACTATTTCCACAGCTATTGCTGTCAGTGTCTGCTCCTGCAGGTAATTGTCTGAAATGAACTAGTATTTTCTCTGGACATAGCCTAAAACAAAACAGAAAAACCTGAAGCCCCCTAGAAAAGGAGAAGGTAACACAGAATAAGTGCTTTTCCCATATGAGCCACCTTTGTAACTGCTGGACAGTGAACTAGGAAACAAACCCACTTTCTGAAGTCCCTGGCAACAGTTTTCTGCTGTCATCTCATTTATACTTTACTGATTTGCCTCAGCTCAGCTATGAGAAATGAACTGAGGAGTACGAGAGAAGGTCTTACGTCCAAAAATGAAGGCTGGGTAGCAAAGGATTATCTGGAACTCGCTCACTGAGTTAGTTTTATTTCCACATACAATCCAGCAGATACAATAAAACACAATAACAAAAGAGGTTGAAGATTCACATCCAGGTGCAATCTCCTGAAAGACTGGGAGGCTATGAATGAAGATGCAGTGTGAACTAAGGACCCTCCGGGTGGCTCCCCCCTCTTCCTACACTGGCCATGATATGCTGTGTATGGAATACCCCTTTGCCTAGGTTGGTTCCTCCCTGCTTCCCGTGCCCCTCCTCACTGCAGAGCATGAGACCGAGAAGTCCTTGATCGGGGTAAGCGCTGCTGAGCACCAGCTAAAACCATCGGTGTGTTACCAGCGACATTCTCAGCCTGAAGCCGAAACACAGCACTGCACCGGATCCTAGGAGGAGAATTAACTCTGCTCCAGCTGAAACCAGGGCAAAGGGAGAGACAAGCACAGGGGCAGGGCGCAGGATGCCGGGGCAGGAGCCT